ATGACTGTAGGTAAAGTTGTAACGATAACATCTCGCATAGAATCATAAATCAAGACTTATCGTCGACTATCAAAACTACTAAAATCAAACTATCAAAACCCGAATTTCTACAATCAAATTATATGAACAAAACATTCCCTTTTGAAGCTGCCGCTTCATTATGGCTCTAGATAAGTCCGAGAATAGGTAGTAGGTCCGCAATATCCCACCGTTTATATGAAGATTACTCATACATAAGTTATAATCATCATAAAGCTACATTTGTGATACCCACAGGTACCTACAAGACTCGGTGTCCCACACTAAGAGAGAAAACATTAAAGCACTTATGTGTGAAATAAAAGTAAAAACTAGAAGTCGGCGAAAAAAAAAAATACGATTACCTAAGCCAACAAAATATACTCATTCAACTTTGCTATGAGTCTTACCTACGATTATCATTTCCCGTACATATCATAATGACCAAGACGAGATCAAATTACTACCACAGCCAATATGCCTCCAGTTCATAGCAACCCGATAAAGTGTATTTTTTTAATCTTTCTACACTTTGAACTGATGTTTATATTCTGTAGAAATATTATCAAACTCACGTCCTGTAAATTACACTAATATTTCAAATAGGCATTAACAGGACTGAGATACAGACATAAAGGCTATAAGTGCTCAATCTTGCATAGAACGACCATGTAAGCACCATAAGGATACTTGCAAGGCCTTTAATCGCTGGACCCTCCTTGAGACCTATTGAGTAATGCCTCGACCCCCAGTTATGAGGATAAAACAGTGTTACCAACCCTATCACACTAAATCACTGCTAAGATTGTTTTAAATCAATGTACACGAAAATCTATATGTAATAGAATAGAAAACATCTTGTCATTATCATTATACAACCAACTTAGCATAACATAACATTCTTATATTTTTAAATAAATCGATAACAAAAAGGTTGTCACTAATCAAATGCTATATAGGAGCCTACGTTTGAAGGTGCACCAATGATATCGTAATATTTCATAATATGGTGTATACCTAATATTATTAGGTATACTTTTATAAGTATACATAGTTCATTATATGAATTTCAGTTTAATTATTTTTAAGTATCTTTTTATACCTCCCGCAGTTATTTTGCATGCATTGCAGCATGCACTCATAAATCATTTTAATTAGTTATTGTCAAATATGTGTACCTACACTTGCCGTCTAATCTATGAGGTTGGCAACACCGGGATAAACCGTCAATAAATCTTAAGCTTGCCTCCGTTTAATTAAAGCTAGTAATAAAATTTAATTGATCAAAGCATAATAGTTGGCAGGCTGAAATTTATAACCTCACTACCTTTTGTGATTGTACCCAATAGGTTATGAGTGGACCTCACAATCAACCCCTTGGAATGTGTATGGTATCGTTCACTTTATGAATCTTGGATAGGTGCGTATTTACCTGCTAAATTTACGAGAAAAGGTATTATATGAAAATGTATTCAACGTAGTACGTTTTGCATAATTCATTATCAGTAGTAGTAGTTATTTTTTTTAAGTACTTACTATAGTTTTACTGACAGAACAGATCACCACAACTCATCATTGGTAGCAAATAATACCACATTACCAAATTTTAAAACACTTCTGTTATGTATAGGAACAATTTCTGGAGAACTTGCAAAATTTTCTTCAAATGTGTAAATATTTCTTCAATAGGTTTTTACTTGATTTTTGGTTTTAGTTTTTATGTATTTCAGCACATGAATAGATATACTACATTGATTGGACATCAAATGTTGAGGCACAGCATTTCTCTTGTTTATTTTGAATACATTTTTAGCGGTTTCCTTTCTAATAACGACCAAAGCTCTCGTCTATTAATGTTTTCTCTAATAACTTGAGTAAACATATTAAATCACTAAAGTAATTAACCCTTACTAACAAGATTTTGTATGAAATCATTCACAAAAATAACTTTTGTTTATTTTGAATACATTTTTAGCGGTTTCTTTTCTAATAACGACCCAAGCTCTCGTCCATTAATGATTTCTCTGATAACTTGAGTAAACATGTTAAATTACTGAAGTAATTAACCCTTGCTAACAAGATTTTGTATGAAATCAATCACAAAAATAACTTTTGTTTATTTTGAATACATTTTTAGCGGTTTTTTTTTAATAACGACCCAAGCCCTCGTCCATTAATGTGTTCTCTAAGAACTTGAGTAGACATATTAAATTCCTAAAGTAATTAACCCTTACTAACAAGATTTTGTATGAAATCAATCACAAAAATAACGGCGAGCGCGTTGCGTATGTTTGATAAATGAATTTTCTTCCTCGCTTTCTTTACGCACAATTTATTTGCTGTATTAACTGTTTATGATAAACCTCCCAAGTAAACTAGACCTCTGACATAATGTTAATAATTCGTTTCATGATAATTAAAACAACATTATCTTATCGACATTAATGCTAGGTAGGTAATATAAACGCTACGTATAAAAAAAAGTAAACATCTTTGACAGTAAATTCTATTCTACATTTTCGCGTATTTGTTGAATTAACCTTAAATGTCATAAACCTCGTAAAACTTTAATGTATATTTAAAAATAATAATATATTTTTAAACAACTATCTCTATTTGACATTTCATCTATTTTTGTAAATGGACATCGAAGTGGCTGGAATTATAAACCTTATTTGTAGCATGACAAAACATTTGAACTAATTACCAAAAGTCGACGGCAGCGCAAGCGGAAAATCACCTGTTTAGGAAAAATGTACCTTCACAAAAAAACAGTTCCGTAGCTCTGCTGCGTAGCAATACCACTTTCGTAGTACCAATCGCTACGCTTTTCTTGATCTCGGAAATCTCGGAAAATCCAAGCGAGGTCAAACTAAACTGGTCTTACCACACATATGAGAAAGTTCACGCGCCCGTAGACTAATTTTATAGATGAGGTGTTGCCATTAATTACCTTCTCGTGTACAAAGAACGTCGGGGCCACTTACCGAGCAACAAATTAATAAGATTATTAACTCACACCGACAGCCCCATTCTTTCACATGTGGGAAGCTTGGGAAATAAGAAAGGTTTAAAAAGTATTCTCACATACAGTTTTGTACACTTGAACGAGTTTTCGTTTTTAGCAATTATTTTATCAACTTAAACTTAAAAACTTGATTTAAAATAAAACACCAAACATTTGAAATTACAAATTTTGTGGAAAATTTATACAAAATAATAAACATGCGATTAAAAATAATATCTTACAAAAATACTGTGTTCATAATAAGCAGATAACGGGCCCCTGCGATACAAAGCTTTGCTAAGTGCAGGGTCCACTGCTTATTTTTCATTTGTTATTGTATTAACACGGTATTCAGGCGCTGTAGACCAGTATTTGTCAAATTTGTTTTAAGATAAACGTTATTATTATCATAGTTTCAAAGCTTATATCAAATACATTTATACATTCGTAGCACAAAGCTACGTCCCGTAGCACTCTGTGTAGCAACACCTAATTCGTACTTCCGATCGCTAAATACTGCGATTAACTCTACGTTTTTGCGACCTCAAACATCATCCCACCACAACATATGCCTTTACTGTAACAAATATTAATGAAAACTGTGGAAAAAAATGTGGTGCAACGCGTTGCCTGCCCGTGGCAAGTTCACGTGTGATTGATCGTTAATGAAGTGGTAGCGCCCTAGTTATTAATAGTCTGTGGCTCCGCCTGTGGTGGGCTAGTGGTTCTAATAGAAAACGTATTCCGGTTATAGATACATAGTTGTATTGATACTTGTAATCGACTTGTATCCAGAAAAGAATAGAATCCAGTAACGTGTATGTTTCTGTAAACTTTTTGTACGGGCGAGTGTCTAAATGATTAATATTTCATTCAAGCAAAATAAAATGTAAATATTATCGGATTCGGATTCAAATCCGAAATAAGGACATGTTTTTTAAATTATATGGGCTTTAGTATGATTAATAATAAAATAAGGCATTTTACAATAGGATTTAACACAACAATAGACCACAAAATCACCTACGGATTGTCGCAATCCCAGCCACCCTCTTGTCATCAAAAGGGTTTGTTTTATTTCAATTAATTCGCCATCACAAAGAGTTCCAGACCGCAGCAGTCACTCTATCGTCGATTTAAACAGATGTCGTGTTAAGGAGGTCCTTCAGAATATTCCTTTGGAATTTAAATTGCAAATTCGTGCGGTGGCAGGTGCAGGTTATTTCCCTCCTTTTCGAACGCCGCGAAAAATGCAGCCGTCTCCCTCCCCCGTGACTCCTAAAATCAACGAGTAATGAACGTCAACAAATAAAACTCGAGCGTTACTAATTACTCGGTCCTCTCAAACGAAGAGAGGTAATTTTTGCACTCCATTCCGAAGAGGAAATCTTGAGGCTAATGGCGTTAATTTAAAAAGAGGCCGATGACTGTGATTTTTCTTTCGGCGTCAACTTTTCATCTGGTGATTTATTGACGGTACAAAAGAGGCTTTCATCAGCGGCCATTTAGTATAAAATGTCAGTCACACACTGGAAACTAAAATAGAGGGTGGTTCTCATTACGGCGGGGCGAGTAGTGGGTGTGCGTCTCGTCAGCAAGACCAATCGAGCTAGGGTTTTGTTTGATATACTTACCAGCATTTAGCGCGAAATTAAATCATCTACTTGTGAAATGTCAAAATTAGTGCCACATCTCGAATGACGCTACGACTGGCTAAAACGATGGGCTAGTTGACGAAAATCTCATCAACCGTCACAAGCTAGATCTCACAGTTCAAACATGGTTAGTGCAATCACCTGCAATAAATTGTTAATAAATGCTGTTATTTATTGGGGTTTTAATGCACTCACAGTGCCATATTATTATTCTCACAAGTGAAAATAAGAAATAGAAAAAATGTCTTGCATCGACATGACTGGATCGTCGCTTCGAGACGAGCATCAAGAGATAGAAAATTTGGCATTCATCAACCGGTGCATCGATAGCTCAGTGGCAGAGGGGTGGGGCGTTTACCCATGCGGCCCGGGTTCGATCCCCGGTCGATGCATGACATTTTTTCTATTTCTTAATTTCAAATGCTGTTATATCCAACATAGCCCTGATTGGGCTTGCTGACGACACGCACACTAGTAGTGGAGTAGTCCGGATGAGTGAGCCTGGGTAGCGGGTAGTGGGTACCTGCACTGGCCTAAATTAAAGTTGGTCTCATCTGCGATGTGTACAATGTAGCGGGCGGGCGCTGCTCGGCACGCCGATCACGGACTCCCGCGGCTTAATGAATGAAGAAATTCCGTGGTCCATTGCAAGGTCCATTTTTTTTTCATATTTTGACCCATGCTCTATGGGAAAAATTGTTCAGTTTCATGAGTACCTTGACCTCCTTTCGGCTTTATTTGTTTTTTATAATACCCAGTATAGGCTAGTTTATCAAACATACCCTCATTGGGCTTGCTGAAGATAGGCACACAAGTAGTGGAGTGGTCCGGGTGAGTGAGCCTGGGTAGCGGTAGTGGGTAGCGGGTACCTGCACTGGCCTAAATTAAAGTTGGTCTCATCTGCGATGTGTACAATGTAGCGGGCGCTGCTCGGCACGCCGATCACGGACTCCCGCGGCTTAATGAATGAAGAAATTCCGTTCCCGGGTTTGATCCCCGGTCGATGCATGACATTTATTCTATTTCTTAATTTCAAATGCTGTTATATCCAACATAGCCCAGATTGGGCTTGCTGACAAGACGCACACAAGTAGTGGAGTGGTCCGGGTGAGTAAGCCTGGGTAGCGGGTAGCGGGTAGCGGGTAGTGGGTACCTGCACTGGCCTAAATCATAAGAATAAATAATAACATATGCCTAAATTAAAGTTGGTCTCATCTGCGATGTGTACAATGTAGCGGGCGCTGCTCGGCACGCCGATCACGGCCTCCCGCGGCTTAATGAATGAAGAAATTCCGTGGTCCATTGGGAGGTCCATTCTTTTTCATATTTTGACCCATGTTTTATGGGAAAAATTGATCAGTTTCATGAGTATCTTGACCTCCTTTCGGCTTTATTTATTGTTTAGTAGCGCCCAGTATATGCTGGTGAATCAAAAATAGCCCAAACTTGATTGGGCTTGCTGACGAGACGAACACAAGTAGTGGAGTGGTCCGGGTGAGTGAGCCTGGGTAGCGGGTAGCGGGTAGTGGGTACCTGCACTGGCCTAAATTAAAGTTGGTCTCATCTGCGATGTGTACAATGTAGCGGGCGCTGCTCGGCACGCCGATCACGGACTCCCGCGGCTTAATGAATGAAGAAACTCCGTTACCGGGTTCGATCCCCGGTCGATGCATGACATTTATTCTATTTCTTAATTTCAAATGCTGTTATATCCAACATAGCTCTGATTGGTCTTGCTGATGAGAGGCACACGAGTAGTGGAGTGGTCCGGGTGAGTGAGCCTGGGTAGCGGGTAGTGGGTAGCGGGTACCTGCACTGGCCTAAATTAAAGTTGGTCTCATCTGCGATGTGTACAATGTAGCGGGCGCTGCTCGGCACGCCGATCACGGACTCCCGCGGCTTAATGAATGAAGAAATTCCGTGGTCCATTGGGAGGTCCATTATTTTTTCATATTTTGATCCATGTTCTATGGAAAAAATTGTTCAGTTTCATGAGTATCTTGACCTCCTTTCGGCTTTATTCGTTGTTTTATAACACACAGTTCATGCTGGTTGATCCAACATAGCCCTAATTGGGCTTGCTGACGACACGCACACAAGTAGTGGAGTGGTCCGGGTGAGTGAGCCTGGGTAGCGGGTAGCGGGTAGCGGGTACCTGCACTGGCCTAAATTAAAGTTGGCCTCATCTGCGATGTGTACAATGTAGCGGGCGCTGCTCGGCACGCCGATCACGGACTCCCGCGGCTTAATGAATGAAGAAATTCCGTTCCCGGGTTCGATCCCCTGTTGATGCATGACATTTATTCTATTTCTTAATTTCAAATGCTGTTATATCCAACATAGCTCTGATTGGTCTTGCTGATGAGAGGCACACGAGTAGTGGAGTGGTCCGGGTGAGTGAGCCTGGGTAGCGGGTAGCGAGTAGCGGGTACCTGCACTGGCCTAAATTAAAGTTGGTCTCATCTGCGATGTGTACAATGTAGCGGGCGCTGCTCGGCACGCCGATCACGGACTCCCGCGGCTTAATGAATGAAGAAATTCCGTGATCCATTGGGAGGTCCATTCTTTTTTCATATTTTGACCCATGTTCCATGGGGAAAATTGTTCAGTTTCATGAGTATCTTGAACTAGTTTTAGCTTTATTTGTTATTTTGTAACCCAGTATATGCTGGTATAACAAACATCGCCTCGATTAGGCTTGCTGACGAAACGCACACGAGTAGTGGAGTGGTCCGGGTGAGTGAACCTGGGTAGCGGGTAGCGGTAGCGGGTACCTGCACTGGCCTAAATTAAAGTTGGTCTCATCTGCGATGTGTACAATGTAGCGGGCGCTGCTCGGCACGCCGATCACGGACTCCCGTGGCTTAATGAATGAAGAAATTCCGTGGTCCATTGGGAGGTCCATTTTTTTTTCACTTTTTGACCCATGTTCTATGGGAAAAATTGTTCAGTTTCATGAGTATCTTGACCTCCTTTCAGCTTTATTTATTATTATTATGTAACCTAGTATAATTATGTTGGTATATCAAACATAGCCCTAGCTCGATTGGGCTTGCTGACGACACGCACACAAGTAGTGGAGTGGTCCGGGTGAGTGAGCCTGGGTAGCGGGTAGCGGGTAGCGGGTACCTGCACTGGCCTAAATTAAAGTTGGTCTCATCTGCGATGTGTACAATGTAGCGGGTGCTGCTCGGCACGCCGATCACGGACTCCCGCGGCTTAATGAATGAAGAAATTCCGTGGTCCATTGGGAGGTCCATTTTTTTTTTCATTTTGTGACCCACGTTCCATGGGAAAAATGTTCAGTTTCATGAGTATCCTGACCTTTTTTTCGGCTTTATTTATTATTTTCTAGCGCCCAGTATATGCGCCTAGTTTATCAAACATAGCCCTCATTGGGCTTGCTGACGACACGCACACGAGTAGTGGAGTGGTCCGGGTGAGTGAGCCTGGGTAGCGGGTAGTGGGTACCTGCACTGGCCTAAATTAAAGTTGGCCTCATCTGCGATGTGTACAATGTAGCGGGCGCTGCTCGGCACGCCGATCACGGACTCCCGCGGCTTAATGAAAGAAGAAATTCCGTTCCCTCACACGTGCCCTGCGCTGACTACCTCGCTCGCATAATATTGTAAAATGTTCCAAGTAATTCGACTACTTTGGAAATTGCTAAGGTCTTTGTATTCAAGACGTTCGGGTTTTAATAAGTCTTTTATATTGTGTTATAAAAAATATTTTTATTAGCCGTGTGGTACCGGCTTATAATAGCATCACCCCATATCTTTCCCGTGGGTGTCGTAAAAAGCGATTAATAGTTGAGAGTAAGAGTTGATGTGTATTGCAAAAGGCAACAGGCTGACAAGCTGTCACTATGGTGATGCACAGTCTTCTGAATGACTCTCAAACTTTTCTCAGACGTGGTGTAAATGGTCGTATTTACAGCTTTTTACGGTCTGCCTACGACGCAAGGGATCTAGGAGTGATATATAATTATAATGATGTTATGTAAGTTTGTACTTTTTGCTAAAATAAGGCCTCGCAGTATCAATGTAACAAAATATCACGGTATATTAACGAAAAACATTGGTGCATAATTGAATTCTGAAAGCGCCACCGTGTCCCTGCGGTGGCTCGTGCCTCCAAGCTGAATTAATTAGCTTTCTAATTTTAAAGACGCAATGGCTCCGCGCTCCCATCAATCCTCCCCACAGAATCGATAGTAATTAATTATTTTTGACATAATCACAACCAAAATCCATTCTCTTTTTGCTAATTCACGTCCCTATAATAAAACGGGGCCACGCTTTTAAGGCGGGTGAAATTGATAAAAAATAAATAAGACTTGGCGCAAGTTTTCGCAAGTCAAACAAAAATGGTGTTGGCTTACATCGAGCGGCGCGGCGTGATTAATAATCTCGCCTTATCAGGTCTGACGTCAGGTTTTGACCATCAATGAGGCTAAGGTTCCATCATTGAGGGAATAAAAATGAATTGAAAGCAATATCTCATCATGTTACCACCACTTACCATAAGAAAACGCAGTTGAAAAATGATTCAATGAAGCCTATTTATGATTTTTACGCAAGTGAACACTAGAATATGTAAATAAGCCATGTTGGTTAACGGACTTTGGATTTAAAGTCACACCAACAATTGAATTGCAATGATAAACGTAACCTTGCTAATTTTAACTTTATTGACAATAAATTGACATTGAAACGCTTAATCGGCATGCAATTCACTTGAACAATGGGACCACGATCGCATTCACGTAACGTAACGGATACCCGGACGACATGAACAGCAAACCCAAATTCCCACCAACTGACAGGGGATCATTGTGTACTAGGACATGACGATTGTGTACTAGGACATACTGTCAATATTTGGACACCCTGTATAAGGTAGCGGCAATGCCGGATGCAAGCAGAGAGGTGATAATGTCTAGGACCTTCGACTTGAGAGTTTGACGTGCGGAGTTCAATGTATCTTAATACGAACTAAATATTGATACATTCGATTCGATAGTGGGCATGCATTTCGTGAAAATAATAAGTAAATAGTTTGACTGAAAACTGCTCGTTGCATGCAGACTGAAATCATGCTTGTAGACAGCCAACAAAAATATACGAGAGTCGCAGGAAGCGAACACAAATAAAAAGAAGGTCGAACCATAAAATTTCCAATTAGCGCTGAACAAAAATATTTGAGTATACATTCGGGGCAGCAAGAATATCGGGAGCACGTCGCAGCCCCGAATACCGGTACAAGTTGGTACTTAAAAAATACATAGTGAAAACATTAGCTGAGCCCGAGGCGGGCCGGGAGGGTTGGGCCAGGTTGGCCCGTGATTAAACCCAGCGAGGCATGCATAACGAGCCAGGTATGTTTGAAT